ATCAGTGGGAACTCTCACATATTGGTATGAATGTAGATTAGTACAAACTCTTTCAAAAACTATTTGATAGTGTCTCAAAGTTGACCCAGAAATTTTACTCATAGAATATAACCAATAGAAATGCATATATGTGTGCTCAAAAGACATAATAATCTTCCTAGCAGCATTATTTATAACCAAAACCTGAATGCAATGAAAGTGTCCAGAAAAGGAAAAATTGACAATTTTTGGTGTGTTCATACAATTACAAGAATGTTTTAAATAATGAACACTTCCAACACACAGCATTGATAAGTCTCATAAAGATAATGTGAAATGAGCCAGAAACAAAAGCATACACACTGCATTACTCAATTTATATACTTATATTTTATTATTTTATAAATAAAAATTATAAGCAAACCCATTCTAGGGTGTTGAAAGTCGGGATAATAGTTACTTCTGGTGTAGAAGGAAGGGATAGCTAATGGGATGCGGCTGGGGATGGGGTACTAGAGGATATCTGGGAAGGATGTATACCAGAAGTGGCAAAATCTGGCCTGGGGGCCAAACCTGGCCGCCATCTGTTTTATAAATGAAGCTTAATTTGAACCATGCCAGTTCAGAATAGTCTCTGGCTATATCATGCTGTAACATCAAAATTAAGTAGTTAAGACAGAAAACTCTATGGCCTGAAAAAGCCTAAAATATGTACTATCTAGTCCTTACAGAAAAAAAGAAAGAAAGAAAACTAAACTCACTGGCCTCTATTCCGTATCGTTGGCTGGGTAGCTGTTATGTATGATAAATCATTGAGCAGTGCATTAATGAAATGCATAATTTGATGAATGGATGTTATTATCTTTCTATTAAAATTTTATTTACAATCCAACAAATCATTATTTTCTTCCTATGATGTATCCAGATGTGTTGTGGGCGTTTAGATGGTGCATAAAGTGTAAAGTACACAGTCTTTGTCCTCCAATCACATCAAAGTCTCAATGAAGAGTTGTGGCATGTCACACAGGGCAGGAGTAAATGTCACTGTATGTTAGCGTTTCTACACTCATTAGCAACAAAAGAGAGTACGTAACAACCAAAACAGATTTGGTTATCTATCTAAGTAGAAGTTATCTATAGCTGCATCACAAATTACCACAAATGCAGTGGCTTAAAAGAAGTAAAAATGTTTATCTCAGAGTTTCTGCCAGTCCAGAGTCTGGGCACAGCTGAGCTGAGTACTCTGCAAGGCTGTAGTCAAGATGTCATTGTGGCCACGGTCTCTTCTGAGGCTCAACTAGGGAAGAATATGCTTTCAAGATCACATGGTTGTTGGCAGGATTCAGTTAGTTCCTCATGGCCAGCTGGACTGAGGAACTCAGTTCTTGCTGACTGCTGGCTAGAGGGGCCACACTGAGTTGCTAGCTGGTTGTTGGCTGAAGACAGCCCTCAGTTCTCTGCCACGTGGGCCCACCCTACATGACAGCTTGCTTCATTAAAACCAGGCTTTATGTAACAGAAGCACAGAAATAATATCCTGTCACCTTTGCCATGTTTTTCTGGTTAAAATAAGTATAAGACCTACCCACATTCAAGATCAGAGGATTACACAAGGGCTCAAGAAAGCAGGGGTAACCAGGCCCTATTTTATTATTTTATAATCTGTCCCTAACAGAAGAATGTGGGTGGAAACCATAGTTAGATTCTAAGCTCTTTAAAGGCAATAGTGGTACAACTTTTCATTCTTTAACACTGACTCACTAAATTTCAAACATGATTTGCTCTTAGTTCATTTTTATTGTTGAAGTATCAGTCCAGACATTTGTTGGAGGTTCTAAGTAGAACTATAGTGCTTGAATTGAAACCCTCACACTTTCTGCCATAAAGAGTTCTCACACAAGGAGGCACAGGAATAATAGCCAAATAGACATTAAAGACAAATAACTAAATGGGGAACACAGTGGATTTATGGATATCTAGGCAAATATATGACTCTCTGCCAGTGTGGGGCTTCTCTGTAGAAGACGCACACAATGTTTGGGTGTGGATTTTTTACCTTTCCTATGGATCTAGAATTGCTAGGACTATACAGTAGTCTGCAACCATTACTCAACTGGCCACATTGACAAGAACAACCAAATTCCCCCAGGGGTCTCTATCCTTAAACTTACTACTTCGGGAAAATAGCAAGTAAGAGAGCAAGAACACATGCACATGAGACCTCATCATCTACCTATTGTGACTGCAGCCACTAGCAAAATTGGGTCCAATTAATATATCAGGAGCTGGCCCATTTGCTGGGAAAAGTAAGTAGGTGGCTGAACAGAGATGGATTTGGGAGAGGATGTATCGTCCTCCCGCTGGATCAGTGTGGTAGCGTAAAAACAGGCTAGGAGACTGAAGTGCATGTTTTTTCTCTCTTCGTTGTCACCATGCTTATTCCAGTGAACACTGGTTTGCTTTCCTGTCTTCCTAGCACACTGATAATCTAGACATAATGACATGCATCTCTCTATTCCCCAGTGCCTAGAACAATGTCTAAGCTTTCCATTTATACAGATTATTTGGTTTATTTTGCTTTGTATTATTGTCCCTGTGGACCACTGGTCACTTGAGTTAATTGCCATATCCCTTCTGAGATCACACAGCACTGTCCTGTATTAACAGATGGAGAGAAGAGGATTTTGGTATTCTCTGTCTGCAGCCCCAGGGAGATTCACATTTTACCAGTGGCCCCATAGATCAACTCCGCTTTCCTATAAAATCAGTGGCGCCAGAGCTGTAGCTCATTCTCTCTCTGCTGTTGAAGACAGAGAAGGCTTCTCTTTGCATGTAAAACTGGTAAGAAACAAGAGAAAGGTGTTCATTCTGTTGATTTTGTGCTTTGTTATCTATTCATAAGTATTCATAGGAGCTAAAGAAAGGCAAATAACATTAGATTTTACCTCATCCATATAACACACAGATGGCTGAGCTCTTCTAGTTTATAGTTGAATATTACAGTGGGTTTTTTTTTCTCAGATTGAAGTGAACCCTGGAAACTGGCAATTAAAAGGGAACTGTAGAAAACAAGCATGAAGGGAATGGTAACAAGTATACTTGTTACAGGGAATTCACTCTCAGGAAGTAAACTCTACCTAGTATTTTAAGAAGCTTGATTGAAAAATAATAGTATAATAACAAATACTGCTATTATTTGATTTTAAACCTTCCTAGAATTTATTATAACAATGTAAATTTACTACTTCAAAATTATTTTTCATATTTTAATTGAATAAGACTCTATAACATTTGTAACATTTCTGAGTGCATTGAGTCAACTGCCTCTTTTATTTTCTGCTGTGTCTACTAAAAACCTCTCTCATCCTCAAACCAGCCCCCATTACCTCATAGCCCTTCTGCAGTAAATTTCCTTCTAATCATTCATGGAGGGAAAAAGTAGGCACTGGTTTAAAAGGAAGGAAATTCTAACATGCTGTGATCTGGGTGACTCTTGAGGACATGGTATTGAGATAAGCCAGTGACAAAAGGATAAATACTCTATGATTCCATGTATATGAGATACTTAGAGTAGTCAAAGTCATAGAGACAGAAAGTAGAATGGTGGTTGCCAGGGGATGGGGAAAGGGGAGAATGAGGAGTTGTTGCTTAATGGCTATGGAGTTTCAGTTTTACAAGATAAGGAATTATGGAGATGGATAATGGTGAAGGTTGCATAACATTATTAATGTATTTAAATCCACTGGACTATACACTTAAAAATGGTTAGGGTAGTGAACTTTATGTTAGGTGAATTTGACCACAATTTTAAAAACTATAAAAAATAAACTCAAAAAACAAGTAGCTCTGAGTGACATTTCCCTCAGAGAAGCTTCCACCAACCTGCCACTGCTAGTGTCAGTGCAGATGTTGGCCCTCATCTTTTGAGGTCTAATTACTGTCATGCTCTGTCATATATTCAGTCACCTGCTGCTTTCTCATGGACTTTTCTATACCAGTTAACCCCTGTCATTCTATATTTTAATCTCTCAGTATGTACCATATCTTTAATCTCAGTTTAAAAATATGTGCGTTTCTCTAAGTCTTTCCAGTCTTATCTTCCATCCACCTTATGGTCTTCTTTAGTCATGGCTTATTGTTCTTGCATTCACTGATAAGTTTCCAAAAATAATATACACTACTTACTTTTCCATTCATTCTTCAAGCCCCTGTAGCAGTTCCTCAGCTTTCATCACCGGACTTCACCTGTTTTTGATTTTGTTTTTGTTTTTCCTGTGTCATAGAGTCACTAGTCTGCTCTTAGTAGCATTTGAAATTTTCAATCCTCAGAAGAACTGACCACTCAAGCAATTCAGCACTGTTGTTCATGTAACACCCAGTCATGGCACCATGCTCTCTTGATTTTAGTGGTTTCTGGAAAGCTGTCTAGTCTCATCTTGCTTTAGTGTATATAGTCTTTTCCAATAATTGCTGCAGATTTCCATCTTTACTGGTTTTCTCTTATAAATCTACTCTCTGAAGGTATTCACCCACACTATTGGATTAAAAATGGCACTTAGAATGATAACTCCCAAATGTATATTACCAGCAAAAATCTGGAGATGTTTGCCTGGAGATTCACACCCACATGCGCACTGAAGAGTAATGGATATCTTTAGGTGAATTACTTTTAGTCATTTCATACACAGTGTATTCATAATTGAGTGTATTGATTTTTCTTAACTAATTCTCTATTCATTTAATCTTATGATCTGATGGAGCTTAAAATTCTGTCAATATAAAATGTAATTATCATCAAAGTGTATAAAATTATATTAACATATTTTCCTTGAATTTCAGAGTAAAATGTTTATTTATATACCTGTATACATGTAATAGAGTTTGACTGAGAGCTTTCACAATGACAGAGTACTTATCTATAACTTTAGATAGTGCTCCTAATCAAAAGAAAATTTATCTAGATATTTTTATGTAACAACATAATTTACTATTTCTATAGGAGGTGAGCATTGTGAAGAGAAATGGTACAAATCTGGAACAACAAGGAGATCTTAGGTAACTTGACATCTAAATTTCCGACTTTCTTATTGAGTGGCATTCCTGGCCTAGAGTTTGTCCATGCCTGGATCTCTGTTCCTTTCTGCTGTCTTTATGCCACTGCACTCTCTGGAAACAGCATGATCCTGCTTGTCATCATTACCCAGCAGAATCTCCACGAGCCTATGTACTGTTTCCTCTCTATGCTGTCAGCTGCTGACTTGGGCTTGACTCTTTCTACAATGTCAACAACGTTAGGTATCCTCTGGTTTGATGCTTGTGAAATCAGTCTAGATACCTGCATTATCCAGATGTTTTTTCTTCATGGATTTACCATCATAGAATCTGGGGTGCTGGTGGCTATGGCCTTTGACCGCTACGTGGCAATTTGTGATCCCCTGAGGTATGCTACCAAACTCACTAATTACACAGAATCATTCAGATGGGCCTCTTAATGATTATGCGCACAGTCACATTAATATTACCACTACTTTTGCTCCTTAAACCCCTCAATTTTTGTGGAGTGAATGTCCTTTCCCATTCCTACTGCTATCATCCAGATGTGATTAAATTAGCATGTTCAGATACTCGGGTCAATAGCATGTGTGGGTTAATTGATCTCATCCTGACCACAGGAGTAGATATACCATACATCGTCCTGTCTTACATCTTGATCATTCGCTCTGTCCTCAGTATTGCCGCCCCTGAAGAACGACACAAGGCCTTTAGCACCTGTGCCTCCCACGTTGGAGCAGTTGCTATTTTCTACATTCCCATGATGAGCTTGTCCTTGGTGCATTGCTATGGCCAGTCAGCCCCCAAAGCAGTCCATTCGATGATGGCCAATGTATACCTGCTCTTGCCCCCTGCGCTCAACCCCATCATCTACAGTGTGAAAACAAAACAGATTCGCAAGGCTATACTCAGGTTTCTCCTTAAAAAATAAACAGAGATGATTAAGTTTGATGAAAACATGATAGAAGTGGCTTTCACTGTACAAAAGCAATCCTGGTATGTTACTGAATATTAGAAATTTTTTCTCATTTTTTTCACTTATTCAACAAATATTTAGTAAGCATTTTTGTGTTTTAGTCATGAAATATACATATAGTAAACCTTCAGGATTTTACAGTCCAATCAGGGAAACAGGAAAATAATAATAATGAAATAATAAATATAATACCTATAGTAACTATAGTAACCATAGTAACAGACAGAACCTTAAAACTCAGTTGCCAAAAATGGTAGAAAAATTCAAAGGAAAAAGGAGCTACAAACCTGATGAGAGTCACATCAGTTTTATTGCAATTGGCACAGTGGTCATAGGTAGGAGGGGGGCTTCATGAATCCCACAGCACTGGGGGCAGCAGTGTGCTGGAGCCAGCTCACACCTGCTTGCAGGAAGACACAGTGGGCATCTCTTCTCAACTCTGGGTTCAGTGATGTCATATTGGCAGCTTGAAATCAGCATTTACAACCGTGGGAATTGATAAACACGACAAATGAAGAGTTTTGTCTCTTTGTTTTAAGCTTCAGTTTACTAGCACACTAGTGACTGGGGGGTCTATCTTATGTTTGGCCTTGTGAGAAGCAATAGAAATTAGAATGTCCAGAAAATGTAATCCCTTGCACTCAAGAAACTTGAAGTCTAATGTGTGAAAGTAGTGATGTAGGCAAAAATGTTACAAAATAATGTATGAAGTGTTGTGATAGTTGATAATACAAGATTATACCCCTTGTCTGTGTTGCCATCTGAGTTTAAAATGTTCCCCAAGATAAATGGAGGAGAAGAGTACTTTGGAAGAAACTGTGGGAAAATCTAAGAACTGTTGTGTCACCATGTTACTCTTCATAGAGGAATGCTGTCCTGAATTTTAAATTCATACACCCTACCTGGACATAACACTGAAAAATAGGAAAACACAAAATCTTTTTTTTCTTTTATCCTTTTGTTTTCTCTATCCATCAGATCCTTCCAGGTGAAATTAGATTATAAGATTTTCATTAGTTGCTTAGGGAACATCTCTAGTTTAAACAATACTATTTTATAAAGAATTGATTTGTAGATTTGGTTTAGAAATTCGGCTGTGCTCCCTGAATTGTAAATGTGGGGAACTTTTGTTCTGGCAATTGTGCATGCCTGTTAGTTGCTTCAGAAAGAGAGAATGCATAAGAATATTAAAGCTGAAGGATTTTGTTTTGAGATTCTCATAGCACTACAGCATTATAAAGGTACTCCTAGCTTTTAAAGAAAAGAATCTAGATATCTTTGGAAACATCTGGCTGGAACTGAACATGAAAACAAGATGATGGGCAAGGAGAAAAGTATTGGGGAACTTCTATGAGGTGCCAACAAAACTTAGATAATTTTATTTAGCTTGGGTTGTCTTGGTCAACCAAATGTCTAGGATATGACATATACATGCCACTGAGTGTGAGCCATTAAAGGGACTAGACTATTGCCTGACTTAGTATGTCTAGTGGACTTGAAATATGTTTATTAAATTAGCATTCTAATAAATCACATTAGCTCAAGGGATCATCATTATCAAGATACTCATAAGAGAGCCTTGAAGATCTGGGTACCTCATCCGATAGGTCACAGGTAGAAATAAGAAAGGGACAAGGAAGGAAGAACAGCTGTATGAATGTGAAGTCATAACATTGTTTTCACTGTTTTTCCATACACTGTGGATGTCCTGATTGATTTGTGTGTACCTGTTGTTTTCTCTGTCTTTTCTCTCTATTCAATTGATTTATCTGATCAGTTTGTGAAAAAAAAATCCATCAAAATGTTTCCTGCAGAAGGATGGATCTAGTTGATGTTTCTCAGCCTTGAAGTAAGATGCTTACTTATCTACTTCATTAGCCAGTTTTACAAATAGGCTTTTATTGTCACCATTCCTCTGATGCAGCAGGTTAACCCCATGTTCAGTTATGCCACTTCTCACTCTAAAATACCACATTCTTTCTCTTTAGTTTTTAACCTACATTGTATTCATAGTTCTACTTCTATGAATCATTCTTCAACCAACAGAATAAAGTGGCTGAGGAAAGTGAGCAAGCTGGGATGGATAGATCACATAAGGTCAGAACACTCACCCTCAGATGACTTCCATGACAGGGCCCAAAGGACACACAATTCACTAAGGCTATTAGGAGTGACCTGTGAAAATTATCCCAGCATTACTAAGAAGTTAAGCAGTGGCTCTCCTCATCTGACCGGAGATGACCGTAGGAGTTGCAGTCACAGATCCAGGCTCATTAGTATCCGTGCATATGGTGAAGTCTTGACATAATAGAGGCCAGTTAGCAGTGCTTAATCACCAAAACCCAGAGGGCTGTGATGGTGAGAACCAACAAAGTCCAAAGGGCAGACAAGAGAGTTTAACATGCAAGCAGTTGTAGAGATGGTTAATTGAGCATGTCATCCCTGGGGCAAAACAGACAAGCAGCCAAAAAGGGGCTAGCTAGGTAACATCACAAAAAGAAGACAAGAATGGATGGATGAGAAAGAGGCTTAGAAGAACTGTTATACTCTGATATGAGCTTGACCTTGGGTGAAGGAGAGATAAGAGTAGGTTTTGGTAGAATGAAACATCTTAGACTATAGTGCAGTTCTAAACAGAATTAGCCACGGCTACTGGGTATCCACAAGTCAAAGTCACCTGTCAGGGGAGTCCTGTGTGTTCCAGAACTGGACCTGCCTTAGTTTCCTGGCCACCCTCAGCCATTGGCTGGAAGCAGCTTGTGGGAAGTGTGGCTTCCTTGGACTGTGATGGGTTTAAAAGCTCAGCAGCTAGGACCATTGTTCTCCCTAATCTCAAATGTCAAAGGCACATTTTAATCACCAGCACATCTGTCAAAATAAGAGGCAAATATGTAGGATAGTACAAGGTGGAACCAAACCACCAAACCTTGAAACAAGAGAAACCAGAGCATGTGCTCAGGAGGCATTTAACCATCTGCCACTTCCCAGTCTGCATGTGCCTCTCTTGAAACTTCAAACACTTAGGAAACGGAGTAGCAGAGTGAAGAATATATGAAAATTTTAGAATTATTTTTGCAGCTTTTCTGTAACCCAGAAATTATTTTGAAATATGTTGAAAATACTCATTAGAAAGCATCTCATTGGTCCTGCTGGAGTCAGGTATCAAAAGTCTCTACTACTCATCAGTCACGTGTACAAGCCCAGAGTATTGGGCCCACCTCTGGGTCTAAGGCTGCTGTCAGAAAAGGGAGAATATTTTGCCAAAGGACTACCCAATATCACTCTAATACCCACTCTTTATCCAACAGAGTGCATTAAGAACATTCAATTAGAGACAGATGTCTTTAAAGCAAAGTCAAGATCCTGGGGATTAAATGATTGGCTAAACAAAAGAATGTAGTCAAAAGTTTCCCTTTTAGCGAAACTGCTCAAGGCAAAAGTATCAAAGATTACAAAATCACTGATAAATAACAGAGCAGTTACATAAAATTACGGCGTGTAAACACGTTATTAGCACTCCATAGGCCAAGAGAGATGGCTTCAGATATTTTGAAGCAAAGATTAAAAGGTAATCAAGATTAAAAAAAAGTTACTTTGTTAGGCACAGAAATAATAAAATATCCCTCGCATATAATTTATATTCTTATAAAATTTTCATGTTTATTATGTTAAATAATTACTTATTCTGACAATTTCTCTTTTATGAACTCAATTTAATACTAAATACTTTGCTGCTAATAACAAATAATACTACACACCATTAAACTTTAAGGAAACTAATAATTGTTAGTCTGGGACAATTTATGAGAATTAACCAAAATATGCAAAAAGCAACTACAAAATGTCTGTAGTAACTTAAATCTATGTTTCTATACTCATTGTCCTGTGTTGTGTTGGACAGACAGGAAAGAAATCCATTATTGAAAACTAATTTTCACAAAAATATACATTTATTTGTCCATCATTTATTCATTCAGTGACTATTTATCTACACCTACTATGTATAAAAATAAATAAAGCATACTCTCTAAAAACATGTATTCTCATGAAGTATTTTTAACCATGTCTTTTTACCAGAATAACCCATATGCCCAATTAATACCTCAAAGTCAGCAAGTCTGAAACCAAACTTATTTGGTTTCATTAAGAAACAAATCCTGTTGATGAGTGAAATTATTTCTGATAATGAAGAATGCAAGGTGATTCAAAGTTTTTTGTCTTTGAAAACACTTGACCAGTTGATCCTCTGACCTGGACATGTTTCTGTTTAAATTTCTATTTGATCAACTGTGTCTACCAGTACATGTCAGATAAAGAAAAAAATATGTTTTAGCCTAAATAACTAAGACTAAATAAGATAATGCACTTGAAATTACTTGGAAAATAATAATCACTATACAGATGTTAATTAATATAATCCTTGAGAACCAACCTATTTTTTTTCTGAAAGTTGCTTCCACTTGAGTCATGCTGTTGCCAAATCTTTCTTCTTGTATTGAAAGGGCTACCCCTCTGGTGCCCCTTGACTTGTGATTCTGTTTTACTCCTTGCTTCTGAATTGTAGGAATACATGTTTTCATTTTAACAAACAATGCATATACACTGTGTACCTGGTACTATGCTATTACCTGGAGATACTTTCAAAGCATTCACTTAGTTGTACATAAAAATCTATAAATAGATTCTTTACAAGAAGCACACAGAATAAAAACCAAGAGGAAAATACCAGATCATCATCTTAAATGCAGTATCCATGTTCAAAGTAACAGTTCAATTTCATTTTTAATTAAAACATGTAAACAGAGAGTTACTGCGTCATTGTGTTTATTTTTCTTTGTTTGGTTCTTTTTCACCTGTCTTAGCATCCACATTTCCTGATGCCAGATAAGCAATCT